GAAGGAAAGTGGATAATACTCGATTAGTTCTGTAATATATATATATATATATATATATATATATATATATATTCCTTTTGTCTTTATTCATATTCTCTTTTTACAGATCTACACAATCTGAAATTTATGATATACTCTATATGAAATTTATATATATATATATATATATATATATATATATATATATATATATATATATATATGAATTTATTCGAATATAACATTACTGTGTTTCCTGTCAAATAATCTGCGTTTTATTGTCTCGTTATAACATTAGGAGGATAAATAAAGAATCCCTACTTTAATCAATGTTTTACAGACTGTGATGAAGACATTTTGGCCTTTACTTTCCTCATAGCTATATAAATATATGCTCGAATTTCAACTCCATACTGTTTTCGTGCATAGAAATTGCATAAAAAGTTTGGCTTTATTAATAAGCATTTTCGTTTGAAGTATCTCTTTGCTATGCTTCGCTTACTGTTGGCACAAGGCCACAAGTAGGAGGCACTCAGTGGGGGATCGAATTCATTATGAATGAGACAAAGCTTGTTGAACATTACCCACCGCTGAGGAGCCATATTGCTTGAAGTTTTTCGAAGTCTGAAACGAATATATATTGTTTGATAGATAGACAGATAGATGCAGGAATAGACTTACATGTTAGAGTTTCTGGTTGACTGCGGCCAGATGAGCCGACACAAAGGAAGTTTACATATACAGCAGCACTAATAGATAGATAGATAGGTAGATAGATAGATAGATAGATAGATAGATAGATAGATAGATAGATGGTAATATATTAAGAAAGATAGATGCAGGAATAGATTTTGATATATATATATATATATATATATATATATATATATATATATATATATAAAAAGTTTCAAATTAAAAAATAATAATGTTTTATTTTGAAAGTATTTATTTATATATATATATATTTGATATTTCAAATTGTCCTCAATTTTTCATCAGAAATAACTGTTTGTAACAAATAAATTTTAATTTATTTGTAACAAACAGTTATTTCTGATGAAAATTGAGGACAATTTGAAATATCAAATATATATATTAAAATTTAATTTATTATCAATATATATATATTAAAATTTAATTTATTTGTAACAAACAGTTATTTCTGATGAAAAATTGAGAAAATTTAATTTATTATCAAATATATATATTAAAATTTAATTTATTTGTAACAAACAGTTATTTCTGATGAAAAATTGATGACAATTTGAAATATCAAATATATATATAAATAAATAAATACTTTTATAAAATAAAACATTATTATTTTTAATTTGAAACTTTTTCTATATATACATATTAAGAAAGTATACGTGGCTTCTCATTATGCTATATATATATATATATATATATATATATATATATATATATATATAGAGAGAGAGAGAGAGAGAGAGAGAGAGAGAGATAGATAGATCGATAGATAGTAATATATTGAGAAAGATAGATGCACAAATAGATTTTTATATATATATATATATATATATATATATATATATATATATATATATATATATATATATAGAGAGAGAGAGAGAGAGAGAGATAGATAGATAGATATCATTGTTAAATAGATATGAAAAGCTCGGTAGCTATATAGATGCATTTATATTTAATTGTTTACTTTTACTAAAATGCAAGGCCTATTTGTTGTCACTATTGCAAACAGGTCACAAGCAATCGTGGCACAAGGCACATTACCCCACCTCCATGCGCTGATGAAGAATCGTGTGTCCTGCTGTGGAATTTAAAAAATAGCTATTAATTACATGTATATGTGTGTATGTGTTTGTCTGCGTGTGAACGAGAGAGAGAGACAGACAGAGAGAGATAGAGAAAGAGAGGCCGTGCAGTGCGTGAGACAGGGAGGATGAAACTAAAATTCTACATTAACCATTCTTTATATATGTATATATATATATATATACAGTGTAACCCGGATATAAAAGAGTCGTCGGGACCGGGGAAGAAGTCTCTTATATCCGGGTTTCTCTTATATCCGGGTTTCTCTTATATCCGGGTTTGGTCTATTATATATACATTAACACAGGCTCTAATTTGGGACCAGAGAAAATCTCTCTTATATCCAGGTTTCTCTTATATCCGGGTCTCTTATATCCGGGTTACACTATATATATATATATATATATATAAGGTTATTTTACTTGTTTTTCTTTATAAAATTTCTTTTGGGGATACAATTCTGTTTACGAAGGTGTGTTAAGGCTAGTATTCTTAGAGGGTGGGATTGTGCAAATTTTAGCCGTGACATATATATCGTCAGCATTTTACATAATATTCAATTTCTGTTGGAGTAATAGAATTTTTTAAATTCCCGATTGGCCCACAACCAATTGGCCCCAGATGCTGACACCGGAAGTCGCAAATGTATTTCGGCGTTCGGATCCAATTCGACAACATACACTTTACACTACCAAACACAATTCTGACACATTTCATATCTCCATATCTCCAGTATTTGTTGTCAAAACTCCAGTCAGACAGTCGGGATCAATACTTATTACGACAGGAATTTAGCTTCATTCGTTCCTAATTAGGACTCTTGCAACTTGTTCTATTATGTGTATGGTTTGAAAGATACGTTCTGCAGTGTGTAGTAAATGTTCGTCATCTGAATCCCGGTTGTGAAAGCTCTAAGTTCAAATGACGTCTTCGTCGGTCATTTTTTAACGTAATTAGAATTTCTTTTAAACTTTATTCTTCGAATTTTCTAAACCTGATACTTTTGCTTCCTCCCGCATTAGGTCCTGTGGCACAATGGTAGCGTATCTAGATTAGAAGGTTGCATGTTCGAATTTCGTCGAGGTCAATAGCATATATATAGTCATCCACAGACAGACTGTTTCGCTGTATTACAGCTCTTGAGTGTGGCTAGACGTCCAATTGCTTCAATCCGGCATTAGTCAGAGATCCTACCACAAGGCTATCATCACAAAGGAAAGGGAATTCTATCTATCTATCTATCTATCTATCTATCTATATATATATATATATATATATATAAATATAAAATTAAATTTAAATAAAAAACAGACCACTTTTAAGGCTCCATTAGTTATAGTTTATTTCACCAGAGAATTTTATTTTTCTCTGGATCTTCAGACTTCACTTTCAAAGGTGAAACGAAAATGAATATATATATATATATATATATATATATATATATATATATATATATATATATATATGTTGAATGGAAACTTTTCTTGTGACCTTAGGTTTCACGTTTTCGCGAAATTCAGACAAACTTGTTTTTGCCTGAAGATCGCGAAAGCGTGAAGCATAAGGTCATAAGCAAGTCTCCATGTGTATTACGTATATTTAAGTAGCAGGTATTCATCCAAACACGTTTGATTAAAAAGAACCGACAACTTCTGTCTGTTTAATGATTTATTGTATTTTTCCGATAAGGTGTTGAGCATTGTGATCGATCACATTTGTTCAAGTACTTTCGACTTTCGCACTCATCATCAAGAACCGATGTGGTTTCTGTGTGGTAGTTAGACTTTCTTTGTCCGCATTCTGATATTCTTTGGAAAATTGGACGTTTGAAATGGTCTCGTGTGACGGCGATTGGGAAACGAGGCCAAACAAAAAGAATACGATTTATTTTATTACATTATTATTTTGTTTATTGTAATACGGAGACAATATGTGCACACATTAATTATATCATAAGCACTTAACGATATCGTCTCGTGTGTTGAACGATATTTTATTTAATGAGGCCTATTTATTTTGTACAATAATTGCTTCTAGAATTTTAAGTCTTTTCCTTGCATTGTTTTTGTTTTTGCTTTACGATAATTTAATGCTGACTCCTTGCATTGGATGCTGCAGAGTATTTTGCTGTTATCTATGTCGCTTCTTTTTAATCAAACTCTCTCTCTCTCTCTCTCTCTCTCTCTATATATATATATATATATATATATATATATATATATATATATATACAGTGGCGGCTCTGAGGATCGGGCTCAGCCCGAGAGAGTCAATATTCATGTATATCTCTTTCAAAGCAACAAAAATCTTTCGTAGAGTGTCGTTTTCATTCTTGATTTCAGCTGGATCCAAAATGAATCGTTTTAACTGCGTGCCTCGAAATATTGACCGAAATACCTTTCCTTGGGGTTGTTCATAAGAAAGAAGAAAAGAAAGAAGAAACAAAGAAAAAACAAAGAAGAAAAATAAGTAAAAAAGAATTAAATAAAATTAACATGCCTAGTTGGGCTGCGTAAATCTGATCCCTATCGAAGCTGGAGACATACTCAGTGGGAAAAGTTTTTCTTGCTTTAATTCTAAAAATAATCTTTTAAAAATATCTAATAACTTGTATGCCCTGTTTTTCAAAGAACAAATTATTATTTAAAATTATTGTTTTTTAAATGTCCATTTTTAATAATTTATTCAGTACGGCATAAGATTTTCTAGTGGAATGTATCTTTTGAGAAAGGGCAAATTAAATTTATCCCGACTTAAATTCGTCGAAAATTAAAGAAAGTGGCAGCATTAACTCGCTGAGGTGAGGGTGGGGAATGTGACTGGGGTAGTTTTGAGGAAATATGATATCAGTCAGCAGTACTGATCATAAACGTACAATAAATTAAACTAAAAACTCACAGGTACATAAACAAACTAATTCATAGACCAATATATAGAAACACAATCTACTATCTGTGACTTGATAATCAGGCTATAAAACAATAAAAATGGAAAGGGGCAATAAACATTCATGTATATCAAAGACTGCCCTCACTCTTTTTCTTACATGTCTACAAAGATTTTTTTAAAAATAAATGTTTGTTTTTAGAGAATTATTACAATTAATATTAAAATTTCAATTTTTTTTAAAAAAATTCTATATTTTAGTTAGAGTAAAGGTATCATTTTAGCGTCTAAGTTATACCAATAGTATATTTTGTTAAACAAAGGAAGCTTACATATATAGCAGCACCAATAGATAGATAGATAGATAGAAATGAATAGATTAAGATAGACAATGAACTGAATAAGCATAGATAGATAGATAGATAGATAGATAATGAACTGACTATGCATAGATAGATAGATAGAAACAACCACCTAGATAGATAGAAACAACCAACTAGATAGATAGATAGATAGATAGATAGATAGATAGATAGAAACAGCCTCATAGATAGATAGATAGATAGATAGATAGGTAGATAGAAAGAAAGAAACAACCTCATAGATAGATAGATAGATAGATAGATAGATAGATAGATAGATAAGAACCGACGGAGAGGTAAAGAGACAATCATACACGCACTCACATAAACATAAACGCAAACACATACGTTGGGATTTAGGAGGTGGGGGGACTTCTTTACAAAAAGGTATAGAGCAAAATTACGAAACGGTATTTTATTGAAAAAAATACGAAGACTAAAACCAGTTCGAAAGTAGCTTTAAAGTTAATTTTTCGAACTTTCATGGAAGCAAATTGCGATGTGTTCCTCAAAGTCTAATTCTCGTGCCAAATCACACTCGATTGCAAGGGTTGCCAAGTTGGTAATGCAGTCTTTAAGCATTGTTGTGCATTGATAGTTCTTTATTTGTTTTAAAGGGATTAAAAGAGCGCTCTGAATTTTGCAATTGTGGCAGAAATTAAGAAAGAAACGAAAATATTAGGGAAAGTTCCTGACAAACCCAACGCATTGATCCTGTTCAACAATTGTCTTCTGAATATTCTCTGTGATATCCATTCCGATACAATTCGAAACAGTTTCATGAAATAACTTCTTTAAATGCACAACTTTGTCTCCCAGTTGCATGCAAACGTCCTTCAGATATTTATCAGTTGATCAGTTGCAAGAAGCTAAAAGGAGATGCCTAACCTTCCCACGCAACAATTTATAACTGTATCCGCGAGTTCAAGGCTGGCCGACCGTCGGTGCTTGATGCCAAAATAGAAAATTTTGTGAAATGTCAAGTGTTGTATTATTAGAATGACACGCATAAATATTTGTCACAAAAAATAGAAATATTGACCTTAATAGAAAAATGATATTCAACAAATCACAATCCTACCAGACAGACACGCTTACAGACGGTCTTGGATCGAGTTTGTTTGTCCGAGCATCTTTTCCGACCGGGGGACCTTAAAATAATCTGAATGCTCGACCTCGGAAATTCTCTCCCCGGTACTACTTTTTGTGAGGTATTGTCCAGGGTGCGGCAGAAATACCTCCCACATTTTAATGGTTGGCAAAAATTCAAAGATAGCTGCTATTAAAACAAATTATTTCATTGTTGTTTACACAAAAGACTACAGTTCTTATTCATTTCTTAAAAAGTTACACCCTCCAAACGGTGGCGTCTATTCGCCATAAACTGTTGTAGACGAAATGTAAAGTTTTCCAACACCCGGATGTTCGAGCGGTCCGAGGTCTTCCAGGTGGCTTTCTTAAAAGCGCTGAACCTGTGGCCCTGAAATTTCCAACCCATAGTAAAATGAAATGAGTACGAATAGTTTTTTGTGTTCCAATTAAAGATTCACCAGTCTTTAAAAAAATGTTTCAACAGCAAACGCACGGTGTACCCCAATTCAAGCCATGATGGTAACTGATGGTAGCTGACAAACAATGGTAAGTCATTGCCTAGATGAAGACACCATAAACACATGCCTATCTTCCCTAGCACTGGACAAGTGACAGTTTAAATTACAACCAGAGACAGTTGAGATTTCTGGGATACATAGTAAAGAAAGAAGGCCTGGAGAATTCAACACTCATAGGACATTGAAACATTGAAACGAAAGAGATGAGGAAAAAGCGACAAACCTAATTAACGAGTATGCGTGAACGGATGGCAGACCAAAGAGAAAAGAGGGCGGTAAAAAGTAAAACAGAACATCAAAAGAGAGGAAGTTGTGGAGAGTCATGATCGTCTACGCCTTAAAAGCATATAAAAGAAAATGCCAAGATTGCTGTTATTAAAAACTGTATTTCACTCTTGTTTAAACAAAGGGTTACAGCTTTTATTCATTTGGTTTTTAAAATGACATCCTTCAAATGATGACTTCTATTCGCCATACGCTGTTGTAGACGATTTCTAAAGTTTTTCATCAACCTGAAGTTCGAGGTCTTCAAGGTGGCTTTCTTTTAAGCCCTGAACATGTGGCACTGTAATTTCCAACGCATAGCAATATCGATTTTCGATCCAGAACGGCATCATTCCGATATAACATGAAATGAACACGAAAAGCTGTTCATGTTGCAATTACAAATTCACCAATTAAAAAAAAAAAAAAAAAAAAAACGTTTCAACAGCAAACGCATGGTGTGGACGGGTCCAAACCATAATGGTAACTGATGGTATCTGACAAACAAAATCATAAGATATTAGCAAGATGAAGACACCATTACAACTTGCCTAAGTTCACTAACATCATACAGGAGATTGTTTAACATGTGGGAGGTGTTTCCTTCGCACCATTTATATATGAGTACCACATTAGATCTGGAGGTATTTTAGGTTTGGAGGTGTTTTGCCGCAACCTCTATATGAGTTCTACTTTAATTCTGCGGGTGTTTCTACTTTAGGTCATGGCTAAAAAGAGTCGCAACAGACATTTGGGTTATGCTTGGTAATGATAAAAAGTTACTACCTTGGTTTGGTAAGAACTGAATATTACAAGTCAGTTTTTTCTCCACTAATTTATTAGAGATATGATCATATGATCGGGATCAACTGTCAGACACTGGTCTTCTAAGTCTTTAGATTTAAACCCATACACTTTGGCAACATCTTTATCAATATTTACTAATGATCTGTCAATGTTCTTAAGCAAATCGTTAATATTAAGCAGAAAATGGATAGGAGAGAGGACCATGTTTATTTTTTCCATATCTGTTTCAGCGTGACATATGTCATGGAAAGAGAAACAAATAAACACAGAAAAAGTCACACTGTTCATTTGTATATTTAATGATTTCAGAATATAATTATTTCATAATTACTTATGTACTACTAGAAAACTTAAGTAAAATATTAACTTCAGAATCAAAAGTAGATTTTGACGCCCTCACAGAAGAATTTGTAATAACCGACTCTTGGTAACTATTGGTCCTAATGCATGGAATTGAAAATTGTTCTAATGTCGATAAATAAATGAAAGTCGTATGAGAAACATTACTGCTAAAAAATTCATTTAAAAAATTGGTAATTTAGTTACCAAATCTTTTTATTAAATTATCTAAAATTTGTTAGAACATTTTCGACCATCAGCCTATATAGCTTGTGTAGTGAAAACCTGCAAGAAAAGAGGCACTATTTTGTAATTAATGCCACTATTATGCACAAGAGATAGTTTTTTATGTGTATATGCAATGTCAATGACTCGTAATTTACCATATATAATGAAATATTAATTTATTTACACACACACACACACACACACACACACACACACACACACACACATATATATATATATATATATATATATATAGTGGTGTGTATGTATATGTTGATAATTAGCCACAAAAATGCATTCTCTAATGGGGAAAAGAAACATAACAAAAATGGTATTGTGTATTTTTTTAAAGAAATCCTATACTTGTATATTGAGTGTAAAATGTTCATTTTGTCAGCCTCTTTTGTCACCGGACTCCCACTGGTGTCGTTTTGCTGTCGGCTTGAAGGAGGCTCAATGTTGCTGGGCTTGACTTTTGATACCTTGAGTAGCTACTTATTCTCTTTAGGCGTTGGCGACTTCTTGATAAAAGAGTTCCGATATGACACATTGTTTCCTTTTGAATTTGTGTCAATTGCTTCATTTAGTCTTGATCCTTCATTTCAAAACGGCTTTTTTCCTTTTTTTTTTTTTTTTTTTTTTTTGTCTATTCCTCTTCTTACTTTTTCTTAACTGCATCTGACCATTGAAAATGTCTTTTTCATCTTTTCTGAGTTTTATTTTTATTTTAAACTTTAGAATTCTATTTTTTATATTTGGCTTAATTCTATTTTTACCTTTATTTTGTTTAATATTATTTTTAGTTCTTTTTAGCTATTTTTTTATGCATAATAACGTTTTTTATATGTTCCTTTTTTATTTTTTCGTTCGTGCTATTTTCTTCTTTATTTCTTCTCATTTGTTCTTTTTTCTCTTTTCTTTATATTTTCTTTCTTTCTTTTTTTAATTTCTTTCTTTCTTATTTCTATTTTTTACTTTCTTCCTTTACTTTTTACTTTTTCTCCGTTTCATTTTACTTAATCTCAGTTCCCTCTCTCTTTTTGTTCCCTCTTCTTCGCTTGCTAAATTCTTTCTTTCTTTCGTTCCTTTCTTCTTTTTCTTTGTCTTTATTATCCTTCTCTTTTCTTCATCATTTTTTTCTTCTTTTTGCCAATGCTGTTTTTTATTTCTCTTATTTTCTTTGTTTTCTTTACTTTTCTTTTTTCTTCGTAAAACTACATTGTTTAATTCGTCACAAAATAATTATTTCATTTCGATTAAAGAAAAATCGCAGAAATTTCATTTTTCTCCAAATTTCTATGCTAAAAAGAATGGTATGAAATTGTCTTTGAACAATTTCCCCGTAAGATATGGTGTTCTATATTAAAACCAAACCAAGTCAATATTGGATATAATTTTACAAAATAATTATTCATTTGTAAATTGTCTTATTTTCAAATGCGTTACACTTTACATTTATTGACATAAAACATAAAAAAAAAGGTTTCAGTGGATTTGCTTTATGAATTTAAATTTGGTCTCAATGTTTCTAAGACAACGAGAAATATCAACCAAATATTTGGTCCGTCCTGGGTAAGACGTTAAACTACATCCGCGTCCTGGGTAAGACGTTAAACTACATCCGCGTTCTGGGTAAGACGATAAACTACATCCAGCAGCAAGGCCTCTGATCAGGAGGTTTTGAGGAGCGTGGAACCACTTCTTAATTGCTGGTGTTCCCAGGTCCACCCTGACCCGGGGTGGTAGCACCTGTTAGGGTCCCAGTTATGGGCAAATAGTTAACTATTACCAGCAATACTTTCTAAAAAAAAAAAATTATTGCCAGCAATACAGTTTTGAAGAAGAAATATTACCAAAACGGATTTTTGACAAAACAAGGTGTTGCCAGCAATAAAAAATGTTGTCGGCATTAAATAACACATTGAGGTTGATATGCTGTTAAAAAAAATAAACCAAACCAATCTAATACAAAGACTACATATTCTATTCATACGAATCTATCCTAAAAATGTGGTCGGCATTAAATAACTCATTGAGGTTCATATGCCGTTAAACAAAATAAACAAATCCAAACCAAATACTTGGTTAGGGTTCGATTCCTGTTCGTATGTTTTAGCGTTAACTCCAGATCATTTTCCTGCAGATTATTTCTACAAGATTTTCAAATTTTTATGATCAGTAAGAAGGTTCAAACCAAGCAGGAACCGAAGAATATTTCAAGAATTTCTACATGCCAAGAACAGTTCCAGTCATAATATTGTTCCACCAGCCCTAAGTTTACCATTAGCCAGCAAGTTAGATTAGGCAAAAGGAGATAAGATTTTAAGGAAACTTTATACAGTATCGGCTTAAGTTCGTTATTATTATTATTTTATTATTATTATTTTTATTATTATTATTATTATTGTTCTTCAGAAAGAGATACCCTATGGCCTGAAGTAAGATCGTAAATTAGTTTTGAAAAATGCATATAACCTTCAATTTTTCGACGATTCTTCGAATCCAAAGGGTGGCCCTAAACTTTTGTCGTATAGCGAATACATCCCCCCCCACATATATATATATATATATATATATATATATATATATATATATATATATATATATATATATATATATGGTGGGTCATTCGTATCCGAGGATGATCGTTTACTAGGGTGACTAGCTAATCCTTGTTGCAGACGCTTGCTCAGGCACATTTGTATTTGTTCAACATCCAGAGTCAACGTGTGGTTTATACTAGGCAGACGTCAGTTACAGTTTCTGGGAGAGAGCGCCTTATCTAGCGTGATCAACAATCTGAACAAGGCTTAAAAGAACGGTCTGTCACGATGACTTGTGAAACCATCGGTCACGATGACTTGTGAAACCATCGGTCACGATGACTAGCACAACCATCGGTCACGATGACTAGCACAACCATCGATGGCTGTCAAATGGTTGTGTCTACCCAGTTTCAATCACTAGGCGTGGGGTATAGTTTTCACTCACTTCGCAAACCCTGCCACACCCTGAGATTGCCTCCTCCAGACCGATTACATCAGGAAATCATTTTCCTGAGAAAAATCGGCCATAATGAGATTCAAACCCGGGTTTCATAGTCAGAAAGTTCTAACAACTCAGCCACGTGTGTGTGCATATATATATATATATATATATATATATATATATATATATATATATATATATATATATATATATGTGTGTGTATATATATATATATATATATATATATATATATATATATATATATATATATACATATATACATATATATATATATATATATATATATATATATATATATATAATAATTTTTTTTTAAATATGATCCCTTCGTTACATAAGAATTCTCATGTTTCAAAAACAGAGTCAAAAACTTCAATATAATTATTAAAATTAAATTGAATTAAAGTATCAAGCTCTGTTTCATCCCCAATCATTCTTTCCTAGTTTTCTATATATTTGCACACACACACACACACTCATATATATATATATATATATATATATATATATATATATATATATAACTTCGATTTAAATAGTTTATATAAATATATTCTTACTACATACGTATTTTAATGACAGCGAAACTTTTTTCGCTTTGAAAAGAATAAAATTTACTTTTTCCACAATGGCAATTTTCTTAACTTGTCCATATTGAATTCAAGGCGTCAATGGTACAATAACAAAAAGTCTTGCACTTCTTGAAACTCTATTGAATCCAAAAAAACGTCCTCTTCCTCCCCCACGTACCACTTTCTCACCTGTCATTGTCTATATTCTGCCACTATTCACCCGTGTCTTGTCACGCTGGACGACATCTACAAAGAAGAAACGACTCTTTTTGCATTTAACAAAAGGTCATTAACTTTCTTTTTCCTTAAGACAATTACATTCCATCGAGGGGACTATAAAAAAAGTTCCTATATTTTGTCCACTTATATTTTGAATTTCGGAATTTTGAAAGGGTGTTTAATATTTCGTGAGTTGTCGTCTGAACAATGATTTCTTTCTTCATATGAATATCAATTCATAAATGTGACAATATTTCGACGACGTTGTTGTCAGAGAATAACCTGAATGGGATCAAATTATATTTTACATTTGCATAACCTTTCCAGAAAATATTTAATTTGTTGTTAATAAGATAATTTGGTAATGATAATGATAAAAATAGTCTTTTCCTTTTCCATAGTGGAGATATATCTGTATATGTGTGGGTCTTGAGGACTATATTTTGTTTCCATAGTGCATTAGTGCTCTATAAACCCCACTTTTCGGCACTCACTGACCGTCATCACGAGGGTCATTCAAAAAGGCCTAAGCTTCACTCAGATATAGTTACAGAAACAAGACAGTTTTTCACTATTTTTCATTATAGTCATTCTTGATATCAATACACTCAGTTCAAAGATGCTTAAGCATTGCAATCCCACTAAGTAAGAATGTGGCTTCCTGGTCCGCCAAAAAATCCTCCACAGCACATATGATAGTAACATTGTTTCCAATATAGCGACTATGCAAGTGGAGTTTGAGTTTAGGAAATAGAAATAAGTCAGATAGAGCCACAGTTGATTGCTTCAGTAGCTGCAACCTGAGCAGTGTGAACGGGTGCGTTAACCTGGGGCAAGAGCACACCTGCCATCAGCTTCCCTTTGCATTTCGTCTCAACTGCATCCTTCAGTTGTCTTAATTCTGATTTACAGTACTGTACATTAATAGTTTATCACTTTTCCAGGTAGCCTATTATGATAACATCTTCAGAATCCTCCAAAACAGAAACCATCGCATTGCCAACAGACGGTGCCTGCTTGACTGATTGAAATTCTTCGTGGGTAGAGAACCAGTGTGTTTCCACTGTTTGCTTTGAATCTTTGAACCCAGGTGGAACTTCTCAGGGTCAGCCTAGAAGCGAGTCAAAAGTGTCCCGGAAATGTCAAGCATTTCAGCTTCTGCACTAGTGTCAGAATTCTGGGGACACATCTTGCAGGCATCTTGTTTATCCACAAGATCTCAGTTAAAACAATACGAACCGAACCAAAACTAATGTCTACGTACTGGACAGTAAACCGTCAGTCATCTAAAACCATACAGTGAATGGAATCAACTTGTTCATCAGTGGTTAAGGTTTTTGGACAACCTGAACGAGGGTCATCTTCTGGGTTGTCCCTGGCCGTTTGACTTCTGCAGCTCACTTCTTCACGGTTGCATAAGGAGTGTCTATACCACGCCCCCATGGATTTCCTTGGATGTCATACATTTCTTTCGTGGATACATTATGACTATTCGGACTTGTTTTGTCCACTTTTGGATTTTTCCCTCACCTCTCACCTTTGCATGGGCCTCACATGAACAGAAATTAAAAAAGAAATCTGAATTAGTTATTCTAGTTGTCTAAAAATTGGTAGTGTGTTGCAACAACAAAAATGTTCAGCTATGGCTCTTCTTTCTGGGTGAGGCATAGAATCGTGCTTCTGTCGATTGAAATTTATAAAATCTTTCTCTTAAAACAATTTTTCAGGAAAATAGGTTTCAACAAGTCCAGTAGTTGTTATTTCTCTTCCCGCAATTGATGGCAGGTTTCCTTCCTAACCTTTTGTCTTTTTGGTTATTTCATTATTTTCTCTTCGTTTCATGTGCTATCCATTTTAATTTTTGCTGACGAGGTATTTGATGGATTCAGGTAAGGTTGTTGCAATAAAGAAAAGTAAAAGAAAAAAACTGTAAACTTATAGTAGCAATAAACGCCTGCAATAGGTTTCTTCTGTTTTTCGACCGCAACACTTGTAGCCAAATCACAGTTCAAACGATAGTCCATTGTAGCAGTTCAACAGGCAACGTAGACACGACAAAATGGGGTCACAAATCCAACCTTCACTTCTCACCAGCAAAACGCATGTTAGTCCACCAAGCTCAGAAAAAAAAATCCTACGCTCGAAAAACAACGGCTTTTAATCACCGAGCGATTTTTCTGATTGGTCACGTCATTGAGGGGAGAGAGGAACATTAGTATAGATTCTGATACTTAAAGTAGCAGATTTTTGCTAACTAATTTCGGTAATCTATATTCGACAGACTGCACACAAAACACGAACTCTTTTTCGAGGTAGGTGATTATCTCTTTCACCACAGAGAGATTATCACTGCTTTTATTCCAATTCCAGCTCATAATTTCTGTTTTGAAAATGTTTATCTTGAGTCCTATTTTTTGGAATACTTAGTAGAGGAGGTTGATATTTTGTTCAAGATCATTCTCATTATAACTATGAATAATTATGTTATCAGCATCACCCTCTTCATCATCATTACATTA